CATATTAATTTAAAAGAGAGTTGTTCTTGCCTAATCAGTTTTCTCTCAAGTACCAAAAAAAATCCACTTAGACATATAACCAAATGTTATTTAATATCTTAAAAAGTAACACAATCCAAAATGGATATTTCACACAACACTACATAAACAACATGAACACAATATTACCATATGGAGGGACTTTCAAATATAGACTTACAAAAATCCCTGTCCTTTTTTTTTCTTTTAAGTTATTATACTAAGCATGACAAGTAATCATCATTTACAATATGGTACACTGACACGATAAAAACCATGTTACAAATGTGCTGTTATAAATCAGTAACATTAGGGAAGACATTTCATGAACTGTAATTATTTCATATGAAATACTATACAATATAAACAGAACATCCATCTTGGATGACCTTTACAGCAACCAGAGACCAAGTAATTTAAAATTTTTTTTTCAGTGCAAACACATTTTATTCAAGGCAGTCTTGGCTGCAAAACCCCTTTCTAACATACAGTAAATCCCACTTGCACTTCTTAATTCATTTACCCTAATGCAATAGTCACATTCAGTCACTCAGAGAAAAGATACCTGCAGAATTATGATCCCTTTAAACTTGATGTTTAAATTTCATTCTCTTGTTGAAAGTAGTATCTATGTCGACTGCTCTAAGGACTTGAATTTGTAGCTATCAAATAGTTCCATGAGAGTGACCCTAGGGCAGCTCTACTCCTACCCAGCGAGTGTGCTCAACACTGCACAGTATTCTGCCCTTCCAATGTGGAAACCGTGGCGGTGTCAGTGTCTAGGTGGGGGAATCAGAAAGAGGCGGGGAGGGAGGACCCCAAAGGAGAGGAAGGGGTGGAGCTGCTGAGTGTGTACTTCATGATTCATTTCCTGGAGCTGCAGAGGATTGACATTGGAGGAGATCATGGGTCTCAGATTTGGTACCTCTTTTTGGTGGGAGCAAGGGAGTAGGGGTACCAAGGTTAGCCTTTGGACAGGGAGGTAGGCAGCAAGACATGGACTAGTCAAGCTTCAGACCTTACATTCTAACCTGGTGTTTCCAACCTTCAGACTCATCACTGCCTCACTTGGGAAACACCCCATTCCCTTGCCATATGATGTGTGTGTGTGTGTGTGTGTGTTCACATTTGAAGTCAATGATTAGCAATGAAAGCCCTATAGTGGATCATATACAATCACAAGAAAGTGTAGTCCCCCTTGAGCCTTGTAGAATTGTGAATCTTGCAAATTATTGACTGTAAGTCATAGAACAACTGTAAAGACACGGGATTATGTGCTAGAGGAGTGATCACTGGGGGATCTCTCTCTGGGATACTGCTGCAAAAGAGGCAGAGATGAACTCAATCAGGGAGATGCCAACATTTGCTGCAAACACACAAGGAAATTTAATAATAGAATTTTTCATATATATAATTTATGAAATGTCTCCTAAATAAAGACCTATGGGAAAATACTGGATGTATCATCAATACTATAAAAACTTTCTGGGAGAAGGATGGGGTGACAGTGGATTCTTTTATCTTAGTAAAGCTCAAACCGATAGTAACCTCTTTCTTGCTCATATTTCACTAACCCAAAGAAAAATAATGTTTTTTTATGGTTTTTGCATCCATTTTTTTCCTGTGTTCTAGCTCCCCCAGGCCCTAAATGTATGCATTAGAGTCACTCACTCACAGAAGAGTACTGGATGACTTTGACAATGGGCAGGTCAGTACCAGGGGATGATGGGGAGAGGAAAGGGAGAAACCACTTCTGCTTGGGTCCACTGAGTCTGACAGCACACCACTAGCTGTTTCTGTGACTGGTCTACGGTAAAAGAGAAGATCCCTGTCAAGGATCTTGAATCTTCTAATTTGAGAAAAATACTTAGAATTGGATCAACTCCCATGGAAATCTAGATCCTCCAAAGTAGGGCTTGATATATTATACTGAATTTCTATCGTGCTAAAGAGTACTGTGAAGAATACTTGATAAAGTTGTTAATTAAAATTTCTTTTTTAGCACCTCCACTGCCAGGAGCAGTCATGTTCCTGAAAGATGATATTTTAGCAGGGGATTATAGAAACCCAATATGAAACTGTAAACAAGGGTGTAGGTCTCGATCTGCCGCTGACTGCAATGGCATTTGGGTGGATTTGTTAATCTCCCACTTCATGAATAGATACCAGTAAGGTGTGCTAAGGTGTAGAATTCCAAACACCCTGGGCTTTTTTGAATGAAAATGGACAAAAATGTAAAGTGGTGATTGTTTTCTTTGACTTTATTAGCACACATCAGAAAAATAGCATTGTATTTAGTGATTTCTCATGCTGGTCTATCAAACAGATAGAAAATAGATCATCGGTAGCTGCCACTGTGTTTCTGGGAAATCTTAACTCATTCCTTGTGTTTCTTGACTTCAAGTATGTGTATTACAGATATGACTGGCTTTGTTAATTGTTTGTGATCTGAATGCTTTGGAAGCACTTTGAGATCCCCAAATGAACTGTGCAAAGTCATTATTGGTTGCTGTTGGTATTTTAAATCAAGATCCAAATACTGTCCATGTTATACATGGCAAAACCTTTCCACCAAAAAAAAAAAAAAAATTTACTCTTGTATTTTGAGCAATAAGCTTATAATTTAAGTTAAAAACTTTTATTTTCAAGTACACTTTGTGATGATCAGTGGTTTATCCTGGGTGGAATTTTACAAAGCTGCACCAACCTAAAGAAGGAATAATACTTGCATCCCCACTGAACAGGTTCCTTCTCCCCATGGTGACAATAAAATAATTTAAATTTACATTTTTAGAGATGCTGGTTGGGTTATGAAAAAGAGAGATGTAGGAACAGCTGGTGTTCTGATCATTGTTACTCCAGATTAACTTTCAATTTATGTTTCCTGAACTTGTGCGTCACAACGTCACGGGAACGGTAATTTGTTCTTTTTATCCAGCTAGTTCCCTTTCTGCTCTTCTATGGGCGTTCTCTATTTGATGGCACCCCCCTTTCCATATGCTCGTGAAGGTCCCTTGAGATGTGCAAAATATATAAAATGGAATTCGAATTATTTAGCAGAAGATGTGGAGTACAAAGCACAGCTCTTTTCATTTAAATGAAGTTTGGGCTTGAATGGTAGTATTCAAGTGAAGGCAGAAAGGCCCAAAGTGCTTCAAAGTTGGCAGTCCAAATTTCTCGTGTCTCCTTTTACTGAAAACCTAGAATTCAAACCAGTTTTCTATAGGATAATAGCTCACTGAAGTATGTTTACCAATTTGCCAGAGAGAACTTTTAACAGGAACAGGGATGGGGGAGACAAGAATTTCTGAACTTTCATTCATTCATAACAACACCAAGTGTTCTTTTGTGAGGAAGAAGAGAAAATAGGATGACACTTGAAAGCCAAAAAAAAAAAAATGCCGAGAAAGAAAACCATGGCAATGAACAGGTCATGAGTCTACAAAGGCAGTCACTGACACACACACACACATACACACACACACACAGAACGCCATGGCCTAATGTTGCAGAAAGTGTAGAACTTTGCTTTTCTGAACAATATTCTTCAACGCACTGCTGCCATTTCATCAAATTTATGGAGGTAGTTATATGTAAAAAATAAAAAGTAATATGCTATATCATAATAATACATAAGTGTGCAAAATGCCGACAGATGTGTTGACCCTTTAAAGTTGAACGCTACACAGAGATTCAACCAGATTCAGTTTTGTAAACCTTTCCGTTGATAAACTCTAAGACTAGATAAGCAAGTCGTGGAACAGAAAGCTATGATTTCACTGGAGGAAAGGATGTTGGTGAGGCTTGGAATGAGCCCAAGGGTTTGGGCACCAAGAGCCTCACCAGCGGGGTGAGAGTATCGTGGATCACATGTGTAATGAGCTTTCTGCCATCATTCCTGTCCCATTCACGAATCCAGAATAGATTCAGGTGGGAATATTTCTACATGGAATGTCTGCTTACATGGTATCATCTTTAAAGTCCATCACTTCTACACTAATGGCTGCTGGTCTACGGGAGGTTGTTTTTGTTGATTTTTTTTTTTTTTAAATTATGTACCCGATAGCATCAGGCAAAGAGTATACACATTTTATTTGAGTAATGTCTTCTGTAAACCCATTTCTTACGAAATATCATATTTTAAAGCTTCTCTTAAATGGCTGCGTGTCTAGGGGGGGTTGTTTTTGTTGATTTTTTTTTTTTTTTAAATTATGTACCCGATAGCATCAGGCAAAGAGTATACACATTTTATTTGAGTAATGTCTTCTGTAAACCCATTTCTTACGAAATATCATATTTTAAAGCTTCTCTTAAAGGTAATGCTTTCCTTTCCTGTTCACACTGCATTTGATTATTTCAATGGCTACTTTCAGGATCAACTGGAGGCTGATGTATTGTTTCAATGGTTATATTATTTATGAACTGATAGCACGATAAAAATTTGAGAGCAGGTTTTTAAAAAAAAACTGAATTTAGACAGAAAAATTTAGTAACCATATGGTATACAACTCCCCAAGGAAACAGACTATGTAGTCTATTAGATACATTATTATTCCTTCTGGACATATTTAAGCAATGAGACAAACAATGCATTTCTGAGCAATCAAAGCATGCCTGGGGGAAAATAAGGCATGCAGTTGAAAGCCAACTGGCTTAAAAGATTTCAATGGGGTGGGAGTTTACTAAAAAGAAAACCGCTTAAGTTGCACTGTTAAAAGCATGAAAAAAAGAATTTACACTACATTTGAGGAGTCCAGTTTGACCTAATGAGACTTCCCACTATCTGAAAAAGCATGAGGGAATATTTATTTGAATGTCTCAAGAATTAGTCCAACTATGTATATAACAGCATTCTTTAAACAGATTGCTAGTGATTAAACCTCAGACTGAAACAAAAGTGTCTCACAAATTTTATGCCAATTACTGAAATCTGAGGTAAAAATATTTTAGATTTTACATATATATATATATATTTTGTGGTGTATGGCTACAAAAAGCACATGGCACTAAACTCAATAAAACTTTATGTGAGACCACTGATGTGTGCCGTAAGTACTCCTTTTGCAAATAAATTCTACAGATGTACTCCGTTGTTCTCAGAAAGTAAAAATAAGAACTTGAAATGTCTACTTTCTATAAGATTGAAGCTTATTTGCAATCCTTTCACGGCTGAATCTTTTTTATATTCAACATGACATTGTAAACCATGGTAAAATGTTAATAATTCATTCTGAAATAAGTTGGGCTGATAACTTTAACTCGCCTAAAACTGCCTCCAGAAATTGGTTACAAAGTATCTGTAAACATTACTCTGGCATAGTTCATGTATGCATAATTATTATTCTGATAAATTTTAGGGGAGTACAAATTAAGATTATACCACACTAGCAAAATGAGCACATTCTGCTGTGGTTGCATGGGCACATGTAAATTTCTAATCAAAAATTATTTTAAAGTTTTCTCTATAGATATCTTCCCAGGAATAAAAGGCCTGAAGTTCAACTCTCCTTAAACTTGCTCTTTCCTATAACCACTACAAATTATCTCCCACAGCCTAATTTAGGCATTCTATTTAAAAACTACATAAAATAGATTTATGTCCTTCCATTAGAAAGAATAACATCCTCAGGCCATACTCTTCATTTGTATCACAAAGAACAATTTGCTTTTAAACAAACTAATTATTGTATCTATTATAGTAAGATAGGATCATCCTAAGTATCGCAAGGAGGAAATGATCTTCCTTCCATATTTCATTAATATCTTCTCCAAGTTCACATTTCCTCTTCCATCCCTTAGCGCTGTACCCCAGCCAGATTGGGAATTCCCTTCCTTTATTCACTTCAGATTCAAAGGCCTATATTCCTGTTTGTGATTAGGGAAGGTTAAAAATGAGACAAGCATCTGTTACACTTGAAAACAAAATCCGAAAACAAACACTCCCAGTATTTCCATCGTGACCCCCTCTGACACACTTCCATGGGCTCCTGCAAAATAGTATCACAAAAACTCACAGTGAAAAAATGACTGGTGCATAAACAACTCACGCACAAAAGGGTTGGGGTCCCTTCTAGTCAGTCTGGCATTCCCTCATGGTGGACCCTTGCATTTGACATTTTGTGGTGACTTCGTTATTTTTGGAAGTGTCAAGGATCAGTTCTGTGGCACCATTTAACCACAGACTGGGAGCAACACGCATCTGTGGCATTTTAAAATGGAATTGGCAACTGCATGACATTGGAAATGCATATTACACTTACAGTGTCTAGACTTTCCTATGTGTGCTCAGATACAATTAGTGAAGCAAAAGTATACATATCACCCCTACTGCTATTCGGTTGCTACAGAGCCATAAATGTGAAAAGCAATACTCTGAAATAAAGATTTTTGTTTTGTTTTTGCCCTAGCCTACTTAGCAGCACAGTTTAAGTAAACACAAAAACTGTGGTTGAGATGCTTGTCTTTCCAAAGATGTAAACATCAGTCCCAGTGTCGTAAACTTTGCTGTATCGAACGAGACAGAAGATCTGAGGCAGAATGACTATCACACACTAGTAACAGAAGCTTGCAAGCAGTTGGAAGGTTTCTGTAACTTCTCAGCTTCATTTGTCGGGGGGTCTGTACTTGCTCGGAAGTTGAAGGCTGGACCAGCTCCACCATGGGCGGGACTCAAAGCAGGGTTCTGACGACGGTTACTTTCAACAATGCTTGACGTGTTGGAAGCCAGGCTCTCCCGAGTACTAAAAGAGTAAAGAGGGTTTGTTTTGTTTTGTTTTGAACATAAATAATTATATGTGGAGCCCCAGAGGAAGAGCAAATGACGTAGTTAATGGATTTCCTCTGCTGGTTCCTCATGTCATGTCAATGTACATCTCAACTGATTAGCCTCATATGCTCCTTCAAAGTGGGCTCGAGAAGTTTTCCCAAGACATGTTATAATCAGCAGCACACCAAATGAATAAAGGCTTTTCCGACAGCTAAATGCACTTGAAAATGCCTTCTCCTTCTTTTCACATTCAAGGAGACTACTTCAAAATTTGATGTGAGAAACAGCTTTCACATTAGTTTAAAAAATGAAGACTCATAAATATACCTATGTAATGATTTCATTTCAGGCTGCAAATTCACTGGTGCAACTGCTCCTGAATAAACTCGGTAATTTCCCCCTAATGATTCCATTTTCAGTCTTGACTAGTAGATTTTTGACTCTGGTGGACTGAAAGCATGTCACTAGCTAATTGGCTGCACAGAAGGAAGGGCAGTCTTTTTAAACACTTTGTATCTCTGTTTCAAATTTTAGCATCTTAGTTCAAATCGATATGTTTGGATAAAGGTCCTGGGGATGTGTTTCCCATTCTTTTGTGAAGTTTACATTCATTTCTGCCCTTCTCTGATAGAAATAATTTCTTTTTTCAAAGGAGACCTATAGAATAGAGGTGATGTAAAAGTTCTGTTATTTCTATTTCTCTCCTTTTTTTTTTTGTAAAGTAAGAAATATTTTTATTTATTGCTTTGAGATATTTAGGACATTTAACATTTGAAATATATAGAGCAATAGGAGAAATAAGGAAACCTGAAGAGGTTTCCTGTTTAAGGTCTACGGCTATAATGAACTTAGAAGCTTGCACAGAGATTGTCATCATCATTTTTTTTTTTTTTTTGGGAGAGATTTTTCACTGTAGGGCGCGTGCGCTCGCCAGACAGACAGAGAGAGACATAGAGACAGAAAGCGAGAAATCACCCCCCAGGGGGGATGGTCACGCCGCAATCCCTTCTCCTCCATTCTCCTCTCAGGATCTTGGGCACGCACGCACACACGCCCGGCGTGAGTTTTAAGCCACCGGGTCCGGGACACGAACCGCGGTCGACTAGGTGGGAGACCAGCGACATAGCCATTACGCTAACTGCTGGTTCCTGTCATCATCATTTTTGAAACATCTACCTCTTAAACATTCTATGAGAGTCGGTCCCCAAAGCTGATTTAAATCTGTTAAATCTAGTCAGCAGGTCAGAGGGCTAAAGTGAATCCATTCTCTCCTTATCTTTTTCATTCCTAACTTTAAGCTGACAGCAATTTTGTATGCATCCACAGGGCTTCCCTTTCCAGGGGGTTATTTAACCCTAACCCCTTGTAGCTTTGAGTTTGCATCTCACTAAAAAGTCAAGAGTTAATTTTTCAAAAGGCAGTTTATTCACACATTACCAAAAAGACAACTGGACCCTTCTGGAATGTGGAGGGTACCTCTAGGAGGTTATTAGTTTTACAGACATAGGTCAAATGGTTTCATTATGTTTATAGGAAATCTGGACAAACCTAAAGGTCATGCCGAAATGTCATCACTAAAATGACAGAAAGTTCTAGACTTACCTCCTTACCTCTTGATACCATCCACAAAAAAATTTATCATGGCTTTCCAGAGAAGGAGGAAGGGCAATAAACATGGAGAGTCCCAAGATGTCATGACATATTCCTTCTGTTTCATCCTTAATCGTAATACAATGAAGTATACTTACACTATTTTATAGTATTTATCTTCCTCAACCTCTATAATGGGGAGAGCTATGATGTGATTTACCTACTCACAGGGTGACTATAAAGAAGTACACATCAATGTATACTAAAAAGCTACAAATATGTAAATTATTTCTGTTATACATCAAACACAATGAATTAAGGGCAATTTCAGGTTAGCTTGTAAATCTATGTATTACTAAGGACACCTTTCCTAGGAGAAAATGCATTTTAAGGTCTGGAGGATCCACTTTTAAACGAGCTTTTGAGACAAGGGCTTCACATGTATTAAGTACTTGTTGTATGCCAGGCATTGTGGGTGCATGTCCCTGCGATGGATCAACTCCACTGGGAGCTGTCTCTGCTGTAAGATGCCTTTGACGCCCTTTGCCCATAGCCATATTGATCGGGTCACTGGACCACTGACATACTGATAAACATGTACAGTACTCCAGTTTCTCCAAAGAATGTATTTCATTATTGTTATAATAATGAGTATAGTCTGTGACATTCCTATTGAGGGCTCTAGATATGATGCTGAGCAAGTTAAAAGAGATGGATTTTCAGCAATAAAAATATTCTCTAAATTAACATTTTTAGAAGAGAGTTCATGGAGTGCAACCTTAAACATAAGATATCAGGATTTTATAGGCAGGAGAAATGAACCAAGTAGCTCAGATGTTCATCCCTCTGTGGACACGTGCACCCCATGGTCTCAGGCTTCTCCAGCCCACACTCATGCAGTACATTAAGCAGATACAACCCCAGCAGACTTGGGTCTCTGATTTTCATGTTGTGTTTATCAACCCTATTTTTGGCCTTAGATTTGGAATAGTAGGCTGGGCTTTTTGTGTCAAGGTTTTTAATTTTTAATACTAGAACTCATAGCATGGGTCAAATTTCTACCTTTGCATCTTTTCATTGCCCTTTAGTTTCTAATAAAAAGAACTAATGAATTTTAGAAATATGGCTATGATTTCTGAGCTGGCATTGAAACCTTAGAGTGTGAAGACCATTTTGGTTCTTTTTATTTATTTTTGGTTGGATCTTAGTTGAGCCATGAATTATCTACTAAAAGATTCAAATAAATGGCCCACTCAAGATTCTTGTGTCTCACTACAGTGGAAAGCTTTCACCATGATAATGATATTTGGCTAAAATATTCCCCATGTTGGAGTGTAAAACTCTCTGTAAGTCAAACAATCTTCCTTGCAGAGCATATACATGCATGAGAAAAGCAACTTAGTGCATTTATTGAGGGGTATAGAAAATAATTTGTCACTTAGCTTCTAATCAAAGAGTATTAACTATGAAGGGAGTAAAATGAGGAATTATTCTGTAGGTTCTCTAACTGCAAAAAATATTTATGATTGATATATGAGTGGACTTCAAGTTTATGGAACAATGGACTCAACATATAATTTTATTTTGGTATAAAAAACCCAAAATCTATGCAATTCTTTTGTTTGTTTGTTTTTTGGCGATATGTATTTTCCATGAACTTTTGGAAAACCCCTTGTATTCCTGTAGAGAAAATTCTACCTCATATTAGTGGCAAAACTATGACAGTTGTCTCCTTTGATTGACCTTGATCTAAGTCATGACAAAGCATCTAAGTACATTATTAAAGAAATGAAAATACATTTACTTCAAAAAAAAAAACCATGTCATAAATTCTATAGTCTGCACCTCAAATTTACATATAATAAAATATATTCTGTAGAGATACTGGTTTAGCTATTTCATGTTTCTTCAGATACCAAAGCCTTCAATGTTTTACAGCGGTAGATTTTTGAGTCCCATTGGCTCCTTAGCAACTATCTCTGGAATACTGCTGTTTTCCTTCTGTGGAAGTCCAGGGCAAAGAGGGCAATGTGAAGGGTTGGAAACCACTGTGTGGAAGCAGCAGGCAGGTAGAGTCCAAAGAAATAGGAAAGCATAGGACATACAGGTAAAGGCCAATGAAACACCCCTTCCCTAAGTGCTGGTTCTGAACTCTGACTATGGACTACAGACCCTTAGTTATGCTTATCTGGTATCCACAACTAGAATTCAAGAGAAGAAATAAAAAAAGCACAGAAGAAAAGATATATAAAATAAATTGGAAAATAAATCAAGATTTAACTTGGGAGAAAAATTTCTTTAGCAAAAATGATTTCTTTTTTTTTTTTATTTGCAAAAATGATTTCTTAAAAAAGTCACGTAGGGCCAACTGGTGGCATGGTGGTTAAGGCAGCTGGAATTCACAGGGCCAACCACATTGTTTGAGTCTCAGACCTGGCAGTTTGAAGAGCACACTGGGCACGTGTATGTGCATGCCCAAAATCCTGAGAGAAGAATGGAGGGGAGGGTATTACAGCATGGCGGTCACCCTGTGGGGTGCTTTCTCATTTTCCCCTCTCTCTTGCTCTCTGGTGTGCACACGTGTCCTATAACAAATTAAAAAGAAAAAAAGTCACTTAATGGGCCAGTGATTCTCAGACTGGGTAGCATGGCTCCCTGAGGTCTCTTAGAACTCCTCCAAGGACAGGAAGGGGAGACCTGAGGTCTTTGATTCCCCGCCCCCCACTTTAACTATAGTGCCATCTCTGCGTTCTGTTTAGACAAGAGACAAGTTATGTGGCCAAAATAATAAAATAATCAAGAACTGTAGCCCTTTCAGAAGTAATAATTGGGGCCAGCAGGTGGCATGGTGTTAAGGTGCTAGGCTCCCATGTGGCCAACTGTGGTTCAAGTCCCAGACTTGGTGGCACGCTTTCTCACTTTCCTTCTCTCTCTCTCTCTTTCTGGTCAAATTGAAAAATGATAATAATAAATAAAAATAAATACTTTTTTAAAAAAGAAATAACCATGTCCTGGGATCAGCAGATGGCATGATGGTTATGTTGCCAGACTTCCACATGGTTGACCATGATTCGAGCCCCGGACCCAGAGGCTTGAAATTCACGCTGGGCGTGTGAGCATGCATGCCCAAAATCCCAAGAGAAGAATGGAGGAGAGTGGATTACAGTATGGTCATCTCTCAAGAAGGGGGGGGGGGGGATTTCTCACTTTCTATCTCACTTTTCTGTCTATTTCTGTCTTTTTGGCAAGTGCACACACCCTATAGCAAAAATTTCTTTAAAAAAAGAAAGAAAGAAAGAAAGAAAGAAAGAAAGAAAGAAAGAAAGAAAGAACGAACGAACAATGGCCTAATATGGGAAAAACAGATCAATGATTTCCAATTCCAGCTTTGGGATGCTCTGACCCAAATATATCTAGAGATATGGTGAAGTTACCACAACGTAGTAAACGTTAGTTCTTAATAATTAAAATAAATACACCAAATACATAATCCTAGCAGTTAAAGATGAAGTGTTATCAAATCTTGGAAATCACAGCTGATGAGAAATGTCGACCTCTCAGTAGTATTTCTGCATCTCAGAGTCACCAATCTGGAGTAGAATTTAGAAGGAGAATTAGGTTTCATATTGCTCTTTGAGGAAAAGGAAGAGTTAAAGAGAAAGAAAGGAAGTTGAATAGACTTGTTTGCTTTCTTAACCTCTGAACAACTTCAGTACCTTGGACATAACCACTGGGCATTGCCCACTCTCAACAGTCAACCCTTTGCTGAATTATCAACACCTACTACAAAGAAGCACTAGGAGTAGTGTGTGTAAGTGGGTTGAAACAATTCTGCAGGGGGACAAAGAAAAGTGCTGTGCGTGCTTTGATCTAGTAGAGCATAGGCCTCTAACCTTTCTCTGAGGGGAACGTTTTCCATGTCTCTGCAGATAAGCAGGTGGTAAGAGGAAGGCATACGAACAAGAGTACAGGCTGCAGAGAGAGTATAGATTAAAAGGGCAATAGGTTTCTAAATCTGTCAAAAAGGTTTTGAGATCTTCTATTATATTATTGCTATGGGAGCCCCCATCCTAGCATCAATTCATTTTCTCCCAACTCCAACCCATGCTAACTATTCATTCTACTCTGAAAGTTACTATTTTTGAAGGACTTAAAAAACACCTTCCCTTGGTGGCAATATAAACATAGAAGAAAAATTACTGGGAAATGTTGTTCTTAGAGCAAACTGATACAAGTTTGAGGGAAGGAGCCAACCCACCAGTCCAGATTGGTGATCTCTACAGCTGCAGAAACATTTTTTTCAATTCCTGAAAAAGAAGTCAGAAACAGGTTGTTAACAATACAACTCACAAAACCCATAACCCTCACTGATACATAGGACTGAGACTGTGAAATCAGAATCATTTCAAGTTATTTGCATAAAGCCCCAGGCCCTGGCAGGTGTATGTGTGTGCCGAGAGACGCCTCTCCCTACCGTGGGGAGTTGAATCCGCTGTCCACAGTGATGCTGCTGCTGTCCATGCTGTCCAGTCGGGCTGAATGGGTAGCTCTCTGGTTGCTGCTGCTGTCGGTTTCTTTTGGGGTAAGGAGGGTGAGGTTCTTCTCAAATTTCCTCTGCAAGTCTCTTTCTTTCTCCCTCTCGAGAAGCCACTGCATGGTGCCTACATCATCTCTGTTTTTCTCCTCCTCTGTGTTTTTATTTGCCCCTTCCTCAGAGTCGTCATCATCAGAGACATTGTAATAGTCAAAAGAGGCTTCCTGGTTCCCTCCTGACTCCTGCTGGCGTTGGGAAGCAGGCATGGCTTGTGCCGCCGAGGTCCCCAGGGAAGGGTCCAGTTTCTCGCATCGCCCTGGCAGTGGGTCAGCAGGTGTCTTCGGGTGAGATTTGAGGAGGGACAGGCTCGATTTGTGATAGCTGTTTACAGACAAGGTGCTGTGAAGAGGTTTGAACAGTGTGTCTTTGCTGAATATCTCTTTCCTCTTGTCCAGGCTGCTGGGCTCAGCGCTGTGGTGCTGGACGAGGCGCCCATTGGCAATCCCCTCAGCCATTCCACCCGAAGTGGCTGAGCCCCCACCTGGCCCTTTGGGTGATTCCTCCTTGTGCCCTACAGGCTCCCTGGAGGAATGGGGGTTCTGCCTATCAGACGGAGACAGCTTCTTCACCCCTTCCACCAGGGTCAGGGTGTCATGGTCCTCCTTATTCTTTCCCAGAGGCGATGGTGCTGTGAGCACTGTCTCGCTGGAGGTGTTGCACTGGAAATAGTCGTCTGCAGCTGTCTTGGTTGGACAAGAGTTGAGCTCACCATAGGATGGCAAACTCTCGGGTGGTTTGCCTGGCTCCAGAAGGCCACATGCACTGGAAGGTTCCTTGCTGCCACTGACTATTTCTGGAATACACACATCTTTGTAGCTTGTGGATGAAATGTGAGCCCTTGGGTGACCCACAGTCTGTGCAGGCCTTAAAGTACTGTCGTCGATGTATGATTGGCTGGGCGTCTGGTCGTCTTGGCTACAGCCCTCAGCCAGGTCTTCAGGCGTCCCCAGAGAAGAAGCACCCAGAGGGCCTTTGGAGTTATCCATCGACCTGGATCTCTCCTTGGCTTTGTTGGATCTCTCATTCCTGGACCTTCGGTCCTGGGTATGGCTGTGGCTTCGGTGTACTTTTGAGTGGGAGCTCCCCCTGGAAGGTTCTGGAAAAGGCATCTCAGTTCTCCTTTTGGCCAATTCACCAGATACATCCCATTCTGGTGTCATGGGGAAGTGGGACTCGATCACATTGGTGTTGCTATGCATGATGAAGTTATCTCCTTTGTGTTCGATGATGAAGCAGCCCTCCCTCGGTGCCCTGGTAAGAGGATCGCAAAAGTCATACTCCCTCTCACCCGGGATATCCAGATGTGAACCATCCGATGGGTCTCCTTTGGACACTCGGGTCTTGCTGTGTGACCGGGATTTTCCATGGGACTTTCGATGAGTCCTACTCTTTTTACTCCTTCCGCTGTGATGGGCAGAGGACCCGGCTTTACTCCTGTGCGCCTTTTCTTCTTCAAGCTTCTTCATTAGTGCAGTGTGCCTCATGACGTTTTCCACGGTCAAGTCGGGGTTAATACGCCGAATGATTTCCATCTCTACCTCCCGAGGGATAGTCGTTGGTGTGTCCTCGTCTCGTAGGGGCCACTCTTCAGGAGGGAACTGGGCAGAGAAATTAGCCAGCTGTTTGGTCTTGTCTTTTTTAAAACTTAGCCGGAATAACTTGAGCCCAAATTTTTTGGACTGCTTTTCACTATCTTTAGGTTTGGAGAGAGTTTCTGTCTTGTAGGAAAAATTTACAGTACTTTTGCTCTTTTCAGTGGGTGGCACCTGGCAGAGTGAAGGAGGGCAGTACGGGTCTTTGCAGTCCTTGGCAGATTTCCTCTGCAGAGTCGAGGCGTGCATGCTGTGCACGTCTTCTCTGCAGCAGTGGCAAGAGTCGCAGTGGTTTCTGGGCAATGTCCTTTCCCTGACACAGCCTGAGGCAGAGGGCGTTATGGTTCCAGGTTGTGGAGAGGTACACTGAGACCTGTCAGGTATCCTCTCGTCCAAATGGTACCATTTACTGTTAGTTCTTATGAGGGAAGGAGTTATGAAATAAGTCTGTGGGGTCACGATGAAATAGCCGTCTGGAGTTGGGTAGATTTTCCTCTCCCGTACCAGCGTGTTCAGTGTGTGCCGCAGAATTTCTTGGCTTGGGGTTGGAACACCTAAAACCAAATACATACATACATAAATAAATAAATAAATAACTACATTCAAGGGAACCTGTCGTGGATTCTTGAGTTTCAGAATCCTATCAATTTTGCCATGTTTCTAAGTATAATTACGAGAAAAATAAGCAAGATTCACTAGGTGTAGTGTGATCCTAGTTTTCTCTGATAAGGTCTACAAATATGACCACCTATGGGATGAGAAAAGATGAAAGCTGGGAAGAGAAATGAATTAGATGGGGTGAGATTGCTATTGTGGTTACAAAGTCTCTCTTGAAGTAAGTCATAAAAGAATATTTTTAAGTGAGAGAAAAATGAAAATATATTTTATGTGAGAGCAATTTACAGAAATAGTATTCAATAAAAGCAAATAGGAAATCAGGGTTGAAAGACATACCTTGGTATTAAAAACCAAATCGAACTCAAGGCTACTACACTGGAGCTACTCTCTACGCTTACTTTGTTTTTTTTTTTTTTTTGGAGAGGTTTTTCACTATAGGGCGCGTGCGCTTGCCAGACAGGCAGAGAGAGACATAGAGACAGAAAAGCGAGAAATCACCACGCTGGGGGATGGTCACGCCGCAATCCCTTCTCCTCCATTCTCCTCTCGGGATCTTGGGCACGGACGCACACGCGCCCGGCGTGAGCTTTAAGCCACCGGGTCCGGGACGCAAACCGCGGTCGACTACGTGGGAGTCCAGCGACATAGCCATTACACTAACTGCTGGTTCCCTCTACACCTACTTTTTAAAATGAAGCTTCCTTCATGAACTTAATTTTATAAATGATATAAAAAGCCTTGATCACTGTTAATGATGCACCCTCTAATTTTGAAATTATAATTTTTTTTTGTTTTTGTCATAGGGTAGGTATGCTCCATAGAGAGAGACACAGAAAGAAGAATATACAGATAAGAAATATTAAAAAGTTAAAAAGCTTTACAGGTTACAAGAGTTAATTCATTTTAAGAGTTTTGAACAGTATGGGTATTAATTAGAAAACTAAAAAAATCAGAAAAAAAAATCACTGCAAGAGAAATGCAAAGTTTCTCTGGGACAAAAGAAATGTGAGGAACCCAACATGGTAGACTGGACTACCACTCAGCTTGGAATTAGTCCTTCTATCCACTCCCCATATGTGGCGTGTGGCTAGGTTTGCTTTGGCCAATGCAAGATAGTAGGCATGGCATGACCAAAGAGTAGAAGAGCCCTCGTAGAATAGGCTTGTGCTCTTGAATCTCTGCCATCCCCATGAACAGAATAGGCCTCTGCCTGCCTACTTTTCCAAACAGGAAGGGGTAGAAGTAGAGCAGAGGGGACCAGCAGTTAGCATAATGGCTATGTTGCTGGACTCCCACGTACTCGACCGCGGTTCAAGTCCCGGACCCGGTGGCTTAAACTCATGCCGGGCGCGTGTGCGTGCGTGCCCAAGATCCCAAGAGGAGAATGGAGGAGAAGGGATTGTGGCGTGGCCACCCCCCCTGGGGGGTGATTTCCTGCTTTCTGTCTCTATGTCTCTCTCTGTCTGTCTGGTGGGGTACCGCCGGCATTTAGAAAAAAACTCTAAAAAAAAAAAAAAAAAAAAAAAAAAAAGTAGAGCAGAGCCACCCTGGTAGGCCCTGCTTGGATCATCTGACTACTGGGAAATCCATAATACACGAGCTAAATCAATACTTACTGCTGCATGCTCTGGTGTTCTGTGGTTGGTTGTTACCCAGCGTTTTTGTTGCAAAATCTAACTGATACGCTGATACAGAAAACAGCTTATATTTATTAATATCTCTTCTAAATTGAATGAAAACAATATCAAACATTCTTTTATACTTTTTAAAAAAGTTTTGCCATAGGATGCACACACTCACCAGAGATAGACAGAGAGACAAAGTAAGAAAAAGAAATCACCCCCTGGGGGAATGGCCATGCCACAATCCCTTCTCCTCCATTCTCCTCTTGGGATTTTTGGTATGCATGCACTTGTGCCCAGCATGATTTTGCAAACTGCCAGGAATGACACTGGAACCATGCAGCCAGCCACATGGGAGCTAGCTGCCTTAACCACTATGACACCTGGCTGGCCCTCGAGCACTCATTTTTAAAGAAATCTCTATTCAGCTAGGACTAGGATGAGTCCACACAAAGTTGGCAGACTGGTGGCCTGATAATGTGTTTTATTTGATCTGCATGTTCCTGGCATACACATGTTAAATTGTACCCACACACATAATTGCCATATTTATGGCAATCTAGAGATTTCACATGAAAGTGAGTTTCCAGATTCCCTTGGAACATTAGATTTAGCAACTCTGGGAGGATTTCACATTTTGTGGGGGAGGAGGTGGCAACTGCTGGAGCTGAGGAGTAGGCTGCCCCTTCTGAACTAGGGCAAGCACTCTGGCTGATCGCCATTCCTAACAGCTTCCAGCCCTGGTAGCATAAAATGTCACTCATAGCCACTGGGCTGTTGCCTTTTTAAAAATAATATTTAAGAGAATATTTGTTTTATTCTTTCAAAATAAAATCTTAAGTTATCTTAAAACTTGTCAAGCCATATCACAAACATGCAAGATACATTCTTATGTATTGGGTTGTCAGAGAAGTCATGATGCATTTTTTGCATAGAAAACCATAGAAGGGACTGCCAGGTGGTGTGATGGCTAAGAGTGCTTGACTCCCACATGGCCAACTGTGGTTCAAGCCTCAGACCTGGCAGCTTGTTTTTTTTCACTTTCTCTCTCTCTCTTTCACTCTGTCCCTCTCTGGTTGAATTAAAATAAATAATTTAATTAATTAATTAATTCTAAACATTTTTTTAAATAAATAAAAATTACAGAAAGAAATCCATCAAAAATATCTCATAACTTTTCTGACAACCCAATATTTATTTATCTATTTAGGTTTTTGTCATAGGGCACGTGTGCTTACCAGAGAGAGACAGAGAGAAAAGTGAGAACTCACCCCCAGGGGGGATGGTCACACCACAATCCCTTCTCTTCCATTCTCCTCTCAGGATTTTGGGCATGCACGCACACATGTCCTGCATTAAGTCACCATGTCCAAGGCTCCAACTGCAGTCAGCCATGTAGGAGTCCAGTGGCTTAAGCACCGTGCCATCTGCTGGTCCCAATACATTTATTTTTGACATCCAGTTTTTCTGTAGTTTAGCTTCTTAGGGCTAAAATTCCCCCATTGTTTTTGACTAACCCCTGGACCATTATGTTCATGGATTTAAAGATGGCTTGAATGCAAAGGTTGAATAGAAACCTGGTCATCTTTGTCAGGTTCTTCATGGATTCCAATTTAATTTCTCTCTATCAGTGTTAATTTTAAAAATGTATTACAGGGTCAGCCAGTGGTGTGGTGGTTAAGGTGGCTGGCTCCCACATGGCTGACTGCATAGCTCAAGTCCCTGCCTAGGCGGCTTGAAAAACTAACACATGCATTAAACATGCCCCAAATCCCGAAAGCTGGGAGAAATGGAGAAGGGATTACAGTATGACTATCCCCCACAAAGGCTGCTTTCTCACTTTCCCTCTCCAAGTGCCAATTTAAAAAAGTATTCCAAGGGCTGGCGGCATGGTGGTTAAGGTGGCTAGATCCCACATGGCTGACTACATGGTTCAAATCCCAGACCTGGTGGCCTAAAAAGCAAGCCAGGTGAGTGTGCACTAGTGCCCAAGATCTTATAAGGAAGAAGAAATGGAGGAGATGGAATTGGAGTGTGACCTTCCCCCACACTCCAAAGAGAAAGGCTTGCTCCTTCTA